AAGAAAACTGATGGCCATGCAAGTTGTGCTATGGGATATATGATGCTTGGTTTAGACATAAAATTAATTGTATCTGTACTGATTTAACTCTTTTTCGAAATATTTGGACACACAGTTTTAGCATATATTCCTAATTCTATTTCTAGCTAACAGTTCCTGATGTATGTTTGTTTTTACTCCATGTTGCTTACTAATCCCATTTTTAGTATGAATGAACAGTCTAGAAGGGTCGAGTTTGTGAGGTGCAATTTTGAAGGCTAGTCTTAAACTACGGGCACTCTTTAAATAATATGTGACAATAGTAAAGGTAGAAGCTGTAATGCTGTAAGGTAAACCCTGATTTTACCTTGTAATTATCACTGTCAACTTTTATACATGTATGTAGTAGAAAACTCCAAGTATTCTGAAATTTGTTCTTTGTATAATATATCCTAAGTTTTAGATACATTTTAATTAATAAGCATAGGGTCCTTACTTTTAACACCTTATTGATAACTTTACTACATATAAAATGAGATTATATAGTTTTATATTGATTTTTTAAAAAATCTTGTATCCTTTTAGAATTTAGACTAGTAAGGTTTTGAGTGCTGATTGTTGTTAGATCATTAGTGATCCTAGCGAGAAGTAAAGAAAGTTGATGAGGTTGGCTACATTTGGCAATGACAACATCTTATGTAATAATCAAATAGTCCATATTGTTTGTAGTCAGTGTGGTATTAAGTTGGTAACCCAGCAGTAAATGTTCAGTTTGCACCTTCATTAGACTTCTTTGTTCCTTTGACTTTGTGTAGTCTCCTAACTTACTCACAAATATTTCAAGAATGTGTGTGAAGTCATTTTGTTACATGTTCACATTGTTTTGTCATAAGAACAACAGGAATTTATGAAAGCACACCTCTTATGTATATATCTTGAGATCTTCAAATTTACCAGATCACACCAACTATGGGTAGGAACATGATATTAATAGTCCTATTGTCTTTACCTTTAAACATTTTAAAGGCGTTTAATGAGGAGTAGGGGATACAATTATTACTGTGAAATTTATGCCACATAAAAGCTAGTAATGATTAGCTTGTTTGTTGAATTTTGCTAAAATACTAGAGTATGATTAGTAAAATTTCTTAAACATATGTAACATTATTTATATTGGTGGAGATGCTAGATAAGTTAGCTTTTCCTTTCTTCTGATTTTTAGTATCTTGTAAGGGGGATGATCTAATGTAACTTTCTCAATTTTCTGGCAGAATTCTGAAAATGCTTTAGTATAGATTCATTTGGTAGCTTATTGAATAGTTTTGGCTTGGGTTTGGTATGTATATTGTGAGCAACTTTATTGAAACCATATTTCCATTTGATGTTTTGTGTTGAGAGTTTGTCAATGTGATCCTATTCCCCATATGAGTAGACATAATAATTTTAATTAAATTGGAACAAAACTTGACTTTCTGGTTAATTTATGTTAGTCCTTATGTATATATTTCAATTAATACATTTTTGTTAAATGGATCTATATTTTTCATATTAAATATTAAAATAAAACATCTTATAACTTGTTTAATTCTTTGTAAATCATAGGTTTATTAGTGAAAACTAATTATGTCCAGAAACATTTGACTGAAAGCTGAGGCTTAGAATGGCTTCCACATGTGTGGACCTCAAAATACAACACTACATTAGTTACTGTATGTCACATTTTATACAGACCATGGGATTCTTTATAGTAGGTGTCTGTGACTTGTTGGTAATAAGTTTCAACAATAAATGGACAGCACACAATCCATTTGTTTTAAAATATATATTCAAAACAAGTCAAATGTATGTACAAAAATTTGTTACACTATTGGTTATCACATTTGTATCCAGAGCTTTAAATAATTATATTTTTCATCAAAGTCCACACAGGTGGGTTCAATTAGTTTAGAACACCTTTTGACAAGACAAATTATTCTCCTCTATCTTTGTTATTACAATACAAGTTGTAAAACTCACTTAATAAAATTTTCATTGTGGCTAAACTGACAATCATATAGTCTAATTTCACCTTTACTTTCACTAAGTTTTTCTCTATATTTGCATATATTTATAATATGCAACAAAAATCTGACCCTCTAGTAACAACAATATGACACATAATGAGAAAAACATAGAAGCTTCAAGTAAGATGATGTCAACAATATTACAAAAGCCTAGTACAACAATTAAACTACATAAACAGTGAATGACTTGTACAGAGTTACATAACAAAGCTTATCATAACTATTGCTTTTAAAATAATTAACTTTTAACACTCTTGTTGTAAAAACTAAATAATCATTAAATATTAAATCACTGAGTAAACTAAATAATAACGTGAACTGAACAGTTTTATATATCCAACACCGTAAATGCAAAGTAGGCTTATTCTTTGTCATTACCACACTTCATAGTTGGAAATTGGTTTTACAAATTGAGTCATGAAGTATTTTAACTTAGTAGCATACCTGTTGTTTTGTCATACTGTTGTATAAATATATGTGTCCTTGCGTCTATTTCACTAAAATTTATCATGCTGAACCTTCAGTTCTGTACAGCAACATTATTTGAATATTTTTTCTTACATTGCAAAAAAATTTTTATAACCTATTGAATCTCAGTGACTTATCAAAGGTCATCATTGATTTACAAAATTGGCATTTCAACGTATTTATGAAATGCATGAAGAACTATCAGCATATACCAAAAATCTTTACTTCTCTCCTGAAAATAAACGTATACCACACAACATGATATTTTACATATTTTTTTCAACATAATTTTTCATTAATGTATCTAAACTTACATAACTTGATTTTATTCAATTTCTTAAATTTTGGGAGAACATACTTTTATCATGTCAGGATCTGAATTATAATTTAAATTTTACTATTTACATAACATTCATCAAATAAAACTTGTAAATACACATTGTTAAGCAGAAACTGTTGTATAATTCTCTCCCCTCCTTCTAGTTTACATTTAACTTTGAGGCTGAAACCATTTTATCATTCTACCAAATAGTTTCATTTAAGTTTACCTACTGATTATAAGTATTTTTTTACAATTCACAACTTTTACAGCAAGGAAGAATATTCTTTTAAACAGGTACAATGTTTCGATCACTGTGTTCATGAGAATGATTGCACAAGTGATCAAAATGTTGTACCTGTTTAAAAATATATTCTTTCTTACTGTAAAAGCTGTAGCTTGTAAAAAAGAAAATTTTACTAAAGAATTCTTAATATTTCCTTTTTTCCATTTTCATATTAAAATTTAGAGTGTAGACTTGGCAATATAGCATATAGAATGATATGAAGCTTTCTGTGCTGCATGTTAATTAATGTAACAAGCATATTTAATCATTAAAACTGTTTTTAATTAGAGTGATACACATACACGCACACACACATATATGTTAGTTGCTTGATTTTTGTGTTGAGCTGTTTCTGACACAAATTGGTTTGCATAAAAGATAGTTATCCTCTAATCTATGTAAAAACCAGTGTGTGTGTCACATCACACCAGATTTCTCAAAATAGGAGGAGTCATAAAAGCCAAAATGGATTTATTCAGATAGAATAGTTCAGTTCCTGTCTGCCCATTACAATTTTAGTGATGGGGGTACAAGGGTGTGTGTGCCATGAAATCTTATAAACATAGTGAGTGTTGGGATCACCTAGCCTAGAGCCAAATGCATAATATTTATCATAAAAGTAAAAATATTGATCCAGTTTTAAATTTAAATAATTTCTGAATTAACACCAACATTTTAAATAAAATATAAACCTCTTTAATCAATGGAGACTCTAAATTAAGAAATCAACAAATATTTTTCCAGTTCTATTGTCTCTACATATCATTTTATACTTTCAGTACATGGACTAACAACAATATTTGGTTATACTTTTGTTGCTAAGCAACATGACATGAAAGCCATTGTTGGACTGGCTTTTCCATGTGTCAAAAGTTGTTAATCCAATTGATTTTTACATTTAATTATTCTACGAATACAAATTAATTTCATGAATGATCTAAATTTTGATTGGCTCACAAAAGAAAGTTACCAACGTTTGACTGCCTTGACTGCACTTTTCTGCCTCTTTGTTGGTCAAGCTTGATTTTGCAAAATTTATTTATTTATTTCAGTTAACTATGAAATGTGAGGTTAGGGTATACTATGGGGTGGGAGTGGTAGTACTTGCCCCGTCATTTTTGACAGGCCATATGCTAGCTAACCAATAAATTCCACAAGATACAATAATATTATTGTATTATGAACCAGCTATGATAATGTTAGTTCTTAGCATCTCCAGCTCTATATTTCTAATTATATTATGTAATGTATTAAAGCCATAACATTTTCTGATTGTTAAAACAAATATTTGTAAGTTTCATAATCTTTCAGGTGGGCTTCCCATGCAGTACACTATAGTCATATAAAAAATTAATATTTTTATGAAGAAAAAGTTGTTATGATAAGGTAATTAACTATAATTTTATAGTATTATTATTATTATATAATATAAATTAATGAAACTATTCTTTAAAAAACATTGTTTTCCTTTTTCAGTCTTGAATGTTTTGCAAACTGATTGTTTCAAATGTATTGTAATTTTTAGTTGTGAAAGTTTTTACGTATATTTCAATTCAAACTATCTCAGTGAAAGATTGTTCTGGCATGTTTCTGCAGCAAATAAAAAATAATAATATTACTACTGAAAAAAATCACAGTTTTAAGCTTTTGGTTTACATATATGACTTTTTGATTACTAGATAAAATATTTAGGAACATTGTGGACACTCAGAAGTGTTAAGTTGTAGACCAATTGATGTGAACCTATGTGAACTTAAGTTTAAAATATATGCTACAACATAGATACAAGAAAAACTCCTTTTGAATACACTCAGTAATAACTAGTGTTTTTGAAATGAATTTAAGATATGTCGAAAAATTAGAATTTTTTTTTCTTACCCCACAGATTTATCAAAGAATAGGTTTGGAGAACTCCCATCTGAAGTATGTGAATTCTTTCTGTTAGAAAGGTTGGACTGCTATCATAATGTGATTCGATCTCTTCCTGACTCAGTGATCACCTTGCATTCATTAACATATTTAAATCTCAGGTTTGTGTGTTTCTAATTGAATTCAGGATTAAATAAGCATGAATACTTGTTTCACTGTTGTTTTTACTTAAGTTGACTGCATTAATAATAAAACATACACTTTCACTTGTTGATCTGTATTTATTCTAAGCATTTGTTTTACTAATTTGAGAAATAAATAAAATACATTTGATCTACTGATTACAAAACCACTTACACACCTGAAAATCAACTAATTAACTTTATTTAGCCTAAGGTCTTGCATTAATCAATTAGTTTGTTGTCATTATATAAAAATAACGTTTTATTTCTTATATATATATATATATATATATATTGTAGGCAATAGTAAAATAATATTTTGTGAACATTTTTTTTTATATCGTTTCTTAGTGTTATAGATATCTTATTATACTTATTTGTAGTACTATTTTGAAGTTACTTCTTCATGTTGAATGAACAAGTAATCATTATAAGCAAAAAACAAAACTCATTTTAGCTGCAAGTTTACATTTTTCAATAGGAAAAATATCTTCTTAATTCTGTAAAAAGATCAAAGAACGAATAATCCTGTCATTTTAGAAAAGTAAAAAATGTCAAAATGTATGTTTTTAATAATAATTTCGTCAAGTAGTTTTTGTCACTTATAACAAGAGGGGGGAGGTTTAAACAATTATCTAATTAGCTTTTTAAACGTAAGACTATCTTTTGTAAAACAGTACTTTTTCTACTAGCTCTGGTTGCTATGTGTCAGTAACATAAATTATGTTTATTATTTTAGTCGCAATCATCTTTCAACCATTCCGCCAGCTCTTTGCCAGCTTCCATTAGAGGTTTTAGATGTTAGCAATAACAAACTGGTATCTCTTCCTGAGGAGATAGGTCACATGCAGTGTTTAATGGACTTGGTAAGTTTGTGATTTTCTTTCATATAAGCGAGCTATAAAATATCAAAGATAATTTATTATTCTGTTTAATTTAACTAATTAGATGTGTTTTAGTCTCCAAGTTACTGATGCTATCCATCATCTTTTTTTTTAATTTAACAACAAAAAATTGTTATACAAGCAAGTTTTATTACTTGAAGGTCTTAAAAATAAGAGAAGTTTGTATGTTCTTTAGTCTTTCTTCACAACATCACTGTAATAATATTATATTAACACTTAAAATAAGTTTTTTGGGAATATATAAAATTGTGTCTGATCTATGTAGTTATAATATTAAGTTCAAGATGATGTACTATAATCCCAATATACACATATCTGATAGCTCATTAAAAACAACAACAACCAGAAGCAGCCTAAGATTAGTTAGTTCAGACTACTTGGTATAGTAAATGAAATCATGCAAACAGTATCCTCAAAAATCTAAGGGGAGTTAAATGATAAACTTTCAACAATAGTGTTTTCTGAATTTCCTAAATAAAAACCTTAAAACAAATATTGTATCTACTTTAGAACTGTTTTGATGTGCACATTTTAGGTCTTATTCTCTTAATGATTTTGGTTGATTCTTATGAGCAGTAAGATTCACTAACTCCTTAAAGTTGTGGTGTTCAGAAGTCGAGCAGTTATCTGTTGAAATGTTTTTTGAACAACATTTGTGGAAGCTCAGAGAAGGAAGAGAATATTGTTTTTATAATTGGCATATACTTGAACTAACTGACAATAAGATATATGTAATCATTCACTCTTCCTTTTGATAGGATGTTAATGGCTTAAGAAACTCTTCTGCTTATCACAAAATATACTATGTTATCTTAATAACATAAGCTATATGCATTTTATATTGCTGTAGTGGGTAGAAAGTATTTTTGACATTAAAAATTTGTTTAATGTATTGACAATTGCCTACTGATATGTAAATTTTTAGTTTCTCTGAAATTATATAATAGTTTGTTTTTGTTTGTTTGTGTAAATCTTGTATGTATCTGGTATTTAGGACGTGAGCTGCAATGAAATAACTATCCTTCCACCTCAAATAGGAGACCTACAGTCATTAAAGTCATTTAATATAAGAAGAAATCTTCTTGTTGAACTGCCACCTGGTGAGATTTTTTGAATGAATAGTTTCCTGTTTTATATGCAAGCATTTTTATTATTTAACACAATATCAGATCAATTCATATTAGCTGTTATAAAATTTCAACTTATAATAAAACATTTCCTCAGATCCAGACCTATGTATCGTAGTAGATATCAAGATACACTGTTATAGGTCTAAAATTTAGTTTTGAAAGACACTGCATTTGAGTTGAAATAATAATGAAAAATAATATTAATACAAATGAAAATTTAATTAAGTTAGAGGTTATGAAATGTACGATAACTGGTTTGCATTAACCCTATTGTGACGGATCACGTGTCAAAGGCCATGTCATCACGTTTGATTTGCATTCAAAATTTTATTGAACTACTATTTTATGAACTTATGTCAGTAACTTTAGTATCAAATCGTAGATTACAATTCAAATTTTATTATTATACATTAGTTAGTTTCTTAATTTAAAAAGTAAATAATAAAAAAAATACAACTAAACATCAATTTTTGTGTGTCATGTAGTACATTGAATGCAGCACTGGTTCAAATTAAATATTTGTGAAGTCAAAATACTAAGTCTATAGTTTTGATTGAATTAGAAACCTAAAATACTAATATTGACAAGCTATAATATAAAATAAGAGCCTCTTATCTTTTCAAATTGCTAAGATACAGCTCATGTAATAAATCAAACACAGTGGCACTCTGCCACCTCTTTCGATTTTTGGAAATGCTCCCCTATATACACTTACTTCTATATGTGACATGAATAACCAATTGGAAGCTCAGAATGTCCCCCTAGTGGCTTTCTCAGCCATTTTAATGGACTTGGTGCCATTTCTTTCTTTTGAACCAATATTTTGATGAGGTAGGGTGTGTCTTTAGTCTGCTTGAAATTTCTTATTTTTTTAGACTAAAATACATCTTAGTTTCTAAGCTTGATAAATTATAGTGGAATTCTATGGTATTAATATAGTAACTTATGATTTTTTAGTTATTGTTATCTTTACTAGAAGTCTACCAAATTTTTGAAGATACATTTACTGCATTAGAATTTATAGTATAAATACTTCACTTGTGTATATTATAGTGAGCCCATTGCAAAAGGGTTAATACAGCTTTTAATGATCATAATCCTTAGAATGATTTAAAATTTTCCACACCTGAGAGAGCATTGGTTAGGTCTGTCTCAGCATATAAGCACTTTTGAAAAATAACCATATTTTACAAGTAGTTCAAATTAGAATATCTAATCATTTAATAACTTCATAAAGTTGTTCTTTGGAGTTAACATCCTTCTCATTCAGTTCCACTGCTACTCCTAGAACAGCAACATTAGCAATGGCAGGTGCACCACGTACCTTCATTGACCGAATAACTTCCCAGGTCTGCTTAACATTTGTTACACATTGATAAGAACACCAATGAGATAATTTTAACTGATCTAAAACTTCTAGTTTTCTGTTATCATATTTTATTGTCCCTAACATATTTGTTTCGTAAAACTTTATAATTGAATACTATGCAACCACTATGTCCCCTGCTACATGAACGATATGAGTTGATCAGTTATGATCATGCCTAGTGATTACTTGGGTCTAGTGTACTGCTAGTCTTTTAATAAAATTTTATACTCACAAAGCAGTTTACTACATACAAAATATGAAGCTACAGTGTTTCATTGCTTATTGTTTCTATATTCTAGAAACAAATGAATTGTTTTGGCTACATATCAATATGAATTATTTTGACTACATAACCTTCACCTTGAAAGTCATATTTTACTTGGTTTTGTACTTGTATCTAAGATGTGAGCTGTAGTGAAAATTATGTTATACCCGATTTTGTACAGTAATCTTCCAGTTTATGTGACCTAAAAGTCACTTTGGAAGCACAGTATATATAGTATAAACATGTTCTTTTAGAAATTATGTCATGACCATTCTTTTGTTACATCTGGCGTGATACTACATTTATATGGAATTTTTTATCAGGTGACCTATGTTTAGAAGGTCATGTTATGCCTGGGTTTGTACCATTACCTAGGATGTATGAATTCTTGATATCTCATAATTTTCATCTTTAAGGTTTTATATAACATAGGGGAGTATAAAATCATGTTTTATATAACATATTTGATAGGAGTATGGAGTCTTCTTCCTGAGAGGCTCGCATGGAAAGTTGTGGTATACTTGAGTAGTTACCATGTTTGAGAACTGTTTGGAATCACTTCATTTAAAGAGCTTTGCCTAGTAAACATTGTTATACCTGGTTCTGTATTTTATTCATAGATTATTTTTTATCATTGTTTTTTTAATGTGAAAAACTTAATTATTGAGAACACTTCAGAGCATTTCAAAGTTCTAACGATTGTTATTTAATTGTCGAAATGTACAGTAATGAAATACATTGCTTTTTCTCAGTACCTTATTTTCAAAAAGTTAATATACCATGCTTTGATTGATTTTCATTCTGTTCATTGAAAAAAAAATCATTTATGAAAAACAAATTTGTGGATTGTAATGAGCCATGGTAATTATTATATGTGTACTTTTGTTTTGAATATGTACCATGCTCTGTGTTTTAAAATATATGTCATTACTTTCTTTCCCCTTTTGTAGAATTTTGTGAACTTCATCTAGTCAAGTTAGATATTTCTGGAAATAGAATAACTTCAATACCCACTTCACTTCGTCAGATGAAAACGCTACAGGAACTTGCGTTAGAGCACAATCCTTTAACTTCTCCACCATCATTTGTAAGTGGTGTAAGACATTCCTGTATTTATTTTATGTTTTTACAAAAAATTTCTAAAGGTGAATATTTAGGTAAAACTTGGATGGATAGGGGATTTTGATAGAAATTTGTTAAATGTTACATAGATTTTTGGTCATTAAAACTTAATAGTTGAGATTTATAATTTTTGTGTGATTTGAGTCATTGTTTTTTATTAAAATGTTTTTTGGAATTTTTTTTTTTGAAGAAATGTATTAACCTATATTAACTACAAGATTTTTATTTAATATTTATAATTTACAGAGCTGTTTTAGTAGTAGGCACTAGTTACAGCTAAAATATTTGTAAACTATGATGTTTTTGTATTGATTTATTGGAGTAATTTGTACTTTTTTAAATTAGTTGATTTGTTGAAATTGAAAAAGCTGAAATTATCATACTTAAAACAAACAAAAAATAGTGTGTTTATCACATTTATTCCTACAGTTATCTGATATTTTTCTTTATTATTCTTGGATTTTTGTTACAGCTGTGTGCAAGAGGAAGAATACACATATTTAAGTTCCTAGAAATGTTGTTCATCCGAGAAGATAAAAAGCAAGGATTATTACTAGATTCTGAATTCAACCATCCTTGCCGGAAGCCAACCCTTTTGTAAGTAACTTAAAACATAATATGGAAATAAGGCATTGTAAACTATGTTACAAAAACATTGGAACAGCACACACTCTGAATTCAACCATCCTTGCCAGAAGGCCACCTCTTTGTAAGTAACTTAAAACATAATATGGAAATAAGGCATTGTAAACTATGTTACAAAAACATTGGAACAGCACACACACATTAGTAAGGAAACTCTCATGATTTGGCACTGGAACTAGATTTTAGTAATGAGTTGATGTACCTTTGGTATTAATGACAACCTGGACTCTGTTACTATCTTACCCTTAACCCACATGTATTGTAATGGACCACCATTTTTCTTACAAAGTAGCTCTAAGTATTGTGTCCTTAGTGTCATACAGCATTTAAAATGTCTTAAAGTGGTTTGAGTAGTTCTAGAATGGGACTTTAAGCTGGAAAAGACAGATTCTGGATTTCAGTTGTCTCAAATCACTGTTGACAATAGTGTACTTTATCTATGATGTATCTTATTATGCTGAAAATCTGTAATACATTATTAAAATAAGTTTGTAGATGCTCTTTGAAAATAATGAAACAGATGTATAGATGTCTTTTTGTAATTTGTGTACATTGATAAAATTTATGTCTATTTTTGAAGGAACAGTAAATATAGACAGTCATAGTTATTTGGAAATCAGACTTAAACGATTTATTACTTTAAAAAAAATGGATAGGGATTAACAGTTTTATGTATGTAAGAATTATGCTATGCATGCTTCTGCAGAAATTACCGTATTTTATGGCATATTAAAAAACATCCTACATCTAATATATGAAGTTAAAGGAAATGTTCCCTCAGTTTTACCCCCATAAGCTAGATTCTGCTTAGTCTTTCCCCAGACAACTGTAGATTGAAATTTAAAAATTAATCTGAACAAAAATATATCATTAGACTTATAATTAGTGAAAAAATATTTGCTAAGTATATGAGTGGATTTATAATAGGTAATAATAATCCAAGACGATTAGCATCAGTGTAGCTGAGCAGTTCACCTGGTTCTCCAGTGCTAAGCAGTAAGTGTTTCTAGATTCCCATGAACACTATTGTCTACTATAGTTCCTATTTGCAACATGCAACAGTTCTTAAACTGCTCACGTGCACCCCTGGCTTTTTTCCTTGCTGCCACATCAGGCCAGTACAGTTTACTCGATGGAGACACTGATATCCACAACAAACACCAACGGAAATGTTCTTGTCATTTGAAAAATAATCTATTACTTGTGCCTTCTTACCCTGGTGAGAATTGTGGTGAATTCTGCTCTTTCTATTGGTTATAAGAACCCCATTCAAGGACAGAAAAATGCTTTGATACACTCAAATGTTTTTTTTTAAATCCATCTTTGCTAAAATATGATATATTGTAAAAACTGACTTTCTGTTTTTGGTGCATGTATTTGAATTGCTATGATTGAGCTCTTATTAAACTTGAGGTCTTATTGTTATTTTGGTCAGTGGGATATTATATTGATATTAGGCCTATTGTATGAATAGAAATGACTTTCGCTATCAGAATGGCTTAACAGACAGTAGGCTGAAGAGATACACAGTTGATTCAGGGTACAACACCTCAGATGGAGGGGACAGGAGGTGGTCTCAAGAATTGCAAGATGTAAGTACTAACTATAATTTTAAGTGTATAAGAAAACATTTTGTCTGACCAAATATTGTGAATTAATTGTCCTTTTTAGCTTCTTAAGGTTTTAGATGTAAAATTTCTTTACCATAAAATAGAATCATACCATCTAAAGTCATGGAGAATTTTGTCATATAATATTCTCCACTTGAAAGTTGAATTTAACAGAAGTGAGTTTACCAAGTTTTTCATCAGAATTATCAGCAGTATAACATTCAGTATCAAGTAAATTTGATTTATGAGTAAAAGTTATGCATACCTTACAAAAGGTCTAAGTTATAGCTTACATTTTTAAATGTATGTATGCCCAGTTGAACAGTGATGCAGAAGAGGCACGTAAGCTAGCTCTACGAGCTGCTGAATTCACCAAAGAACAAAGACAAGAAAGAGAACGAGACTTACAGCAACGCTTCTCCAAAAATGAAGATCCACTTTCTGGCAATGGAAGTACAAGTTTTTCCTCTACATTGTCTGGACTTAGTAGTCTAAGTACTCCAAGTACACTGAGTCCAGGCTCTGAATTCAACTTTGAAGAAGAAATAAACATAGTACGTAACTCGGTTCACCATACTTTGTTAATTTTAGTTTTTTTGTGTTTAACCACAAAACTGCACAATGGGCTATCTGTGCTCTGCCCACAGACTTAATACTAAGCCACCAAGGGTCAAAGAGTCATAGTAGATGTATGTATTTTGTTTAAGTTGTAGTTTGAATGCTTTGAAATATTTGGGTAAATATTAGCTTTTTTATATTCCTTTACCTTAATTTGAAATTTTTGTGATAGGGTTAAACACTGGAAAAACATAATGAGTATTCATCAGAAGTTATAGGCTCTCTGTTATACATAAAATATGTAATTATTTTGTGAGAAATTTGTATTCTTTAGATATATATGAATATGAAGGCTTAAATGAAAAATTATCAATTTGTTATAATCAGTAAAGTTTGTTTTTATAAGAATTATGCTTAAATCTATATCATTAAAAAAATCATGTGTCTACATATGTGGGAAGCTTTTGAAACTTCATTAAGCTACAAAAATTTAATTTGTAGTAGGGAAGTGGACAGCATCACCTTATGCATTGCGAAGAGAAGGGTATTTGGGGAATGGATCTGTTATTCCCTCAGTTTCCCATCTCAGACAGTGGTTTTTATGTGTTAAGGATTTGTAGTTTAATTTATTTATAGACACTTAGACTACCAGTATCATCATACTGTTTAGTAGGGAACTGGATAAGCCTATTTGTTTGCCATTTAACTCGAAGTGCCTTTTGTACTAGAGGTGTTAGGTGGGTATCACATGTTATGGAATATATTTAACTATGCAATCACTGAGATGCCTTACATGGCCATCAGATTTATTCAGAACTCTACATACCTAACCTCATACATGAGTAGTATAAGTAGTTCACTTAATTGTAGGGCAGCAGAAGTGATTAGGATTGGTTTTGCATTTTATAAACTTTGTGCATTCATATGCAAAGAACGAGTTTTTTCCCCTCTATTATTTATATATGAAACTAAAGTTTTGAAATCATGAGCATGTTACATTCAAATTAGTTTATCCATGTTTCAGTTATAAATTAGTCTTATATTTGAACATATTACTTTGGATACACTTATAGTAAACAACAAATTTTCTGTTTTCCAATGTTTTTTTTTAACTCTGAAAACTTAGTTTAGTGTTAATAAAATAGTTTTAATTTTAATTGTTTGTGATACATACTGCAGGCTCTTCAGGAGAAATATTTGAAATCAAATCAGGAAGAAGAAAAAGACAGAGAAGAAAGGAGGAAGGTGGCACAGAAGTTGTTAGATCTACAGAGAGAAGATATTAAAAGAACACATGATTTAAAGTAAGAAGTATGAATGTATTCAGATTCGAATTAACTGAAAATTTTAAAAAACTTTTGATGTCCATATTAAGTTCTTCTTTCTATACCTTGTACTGTAACCTACCTCGATGTAAGTGTAGTTATATACTGATGGCTTTCATTTAAGTTTCTTTGGGATTGACATACTGAGGCAGATTTATTGAGAAATAAAAACTTGATGGTTAGTAGGAGTGATACAAAAGATTAAAGTTTAAAATCTGAATATAGTAGTTTCTACAAATGAACATAAATGAACAATTGCCAACAGGAATATTTGAACACCAGCTTACCTATTCTGAATACTGACTGACTTTGACTGTCTTGACATTCTAACTGGTTTTGACACTTTACACACATAGGTATATGTTCTTGAACTCTCTGTAACATATTTGCTTCGGCTAGATATCTTTGGGATTCATATACTGATACACAGTGAAATTTAAGTTGTAGCTTTCTTTTGTTCTTAGCATTATACAGTTCCAACTTTTACTTAAAGCAAATTAAAAGTGACCTTCTAAATTCAGGCTTTTCTATACATGTAAATAGGAAGTGAACAATAAAATTCCACATAGTTGCAGCCATAATTCAAGTGATAACAACAGAATACAATAATGAAAAAAGATTTATATATATATATATATAAAATCAAAATTACAACCTTACTCTGGAATTTGGGAGATAATACCTTCCAACCCACTGGCAGGAGAAGACACCAAAGACTGACTCTTTCCAGTTTTTATGTGATTCATTGCAAAATGTTAAGACTGGTGCTTTCAGTTGAACAGAAAGATGAATTGTTTTTTGCCCATTGTTTCAGTCATTTATTTAATAAATAATTTAAATATGTGATTTGATATAATTGTTAGAAACTAAGGTGGATTTTTCATGATAGTAAGTTAAACAGTTTCTGTCATCAGAGTATCCATAGAATTTTGAAAGACTTTCGAGAAGAAAAACTGGTCAAATCATATTCAACAACTTCAACAAGTTGTGTGAAGGTTTTTGTTTTTCACTTTATTTACTTTGGAACTTTTTTTTTTGACACATTCCAAACCAACTTGAAGACACTAAAGACTGATATTCTTTCCAGCTTTCTTGTGGTCAGTTGCAGAGTATTGTTAAGTCTGGTCCTTTTAGATTAGCAGAAATATGGATAGCTTTTTCATTCATCATTCCAGTTATTACTTAAGAGCTAATTTTAGAGAAGGTTTTTTATACTATCCACAATATTTTGCATTCATAATATGTTGTTTTCTATTGTTCAGGAAGACAAAAGTGGTTGAACTCTTGCAGTTCCACGTATTGTTAAACTGACAATGATATTGTTAAGCATACCCAAATAGAACATGCATCTTTCATAACATGAGTATTTCATGCAGATAGTTTATGGTAATTAAAGATACTGAAAATCTGTTGAACCAAATTCACTGAAATTGACTGCAAGAGAACATGTGGTTTGAATGTCAAGCTTTATTAGCAGGTCAAACAAGTGATCTGTTTGGTCTTTTGAGATTTTTCTGGCCCTTCAGATCTCTTTCATCCAAATTTTATTGTACTTTGGAAACAATGTCATCCAAAAAATTTTAGTACAATAGAAGTACTGAAATCTGTAATTTTGGTGTTTTTTTTACAGAATTTTGACATAATCAGATTTTTTTTCTTGGGTTGTCTCTTAATCCTATGTGCATGACATCAGCCCATTGGATGACACAATATCTGTGAATCTATACATAGTAATGTTTACTAGAACTCTGAATTTACTATATTTAAATTGAAGAAATTTTGCAAACTTTTGATAAACATTACAACTGTGTTGTACACATAGAATCAGAGTGTTTAATCATTTTTTTTTCTAAAGAATTTTTACTGTGAATTTACAAAGTCATTCTGAGACATATTGACTCAGATTCTTAACTAGTCTGAGTGCAAGATAATTCTCCTGTTATTTTGTCTACCCTGACACTAACTGTAGCAAAATCATGATTAATGTACAATGAAATGAAAAGTTAAGAATATGAAATAAAATGATCAATACATTTTACTACTTCTTATGATACATAATTTCCTCTGTTTAATATAATTCTTTAAAGTTTCAATTGCTAATCTTTTTACATCTATCTTCTGTAAATGTATGGTTTTATTATTATTATAGTTAGTACGTACTTGAACACTAATCTTCCCATCAAAAACAGTAAGTACAATATGAGGTAATTAGCCACAGGTCATAAACACCATGAGCAAAGTACCTGACTCATATTATCTTTGTTACTGTAAACCATAACAACTAGGCCTCACTTTTTTGTTTCCAAAATTCTTCAAATAAAAATACTTGGATCTTTCAAATATGCATTTCAGAACACAAAACATATTTCGGGCACTAGAATTGAAAGCCTCAAAATTACTATAATTTAATTGACTTTATAAATAAGCTACATATAGGTTAAAAAACTTCTGTTAACTGCTTAGAGCTCAACAATAACAATCACATATAAGTTATCTGAGGCAAACTGTCTACAAGTGTGTGCCAAAAGAAATAACTGTTCTTTGTTGGGAAAAAACTCTCTTTCAGTTGGTTATAAATGTCTATAAAAGAAGTACACATGGTATAGATAAACTTGTTCAAACTGTGACAAGATGAGAGGAGCCTCAAAAGTAGGTGTCACAAATTCATTTATATCTCAGTAAATCAAGAAGGTAGTAGATTTGAATTTTTTATTCTGGCTTGTCAGTATCTGTAGTTTAAATTTTTGATTGGTTGAGCTCTCTGAAAGCATTAGGAGGAAATGTCGAAAATCTGAAAAAGAGAATTTGAAGGGAAGATGTGTCGTATCACACAGAACTCAATATTAAGATTTATTTAGATATGTTCTTTTGAAGTTAAGATGTAAAAAAACTTAGATAATGTAAAACTTTGTATTATTAACTATGCTTTAATCCAAGTTTATTAATATACATTGACATTAAAGTTGTTTAATTACATTTTGAATGTAACTGTGTAAAAAGGTTATCATGCATTTTGACCTAGTTATGCACATAGAGTTAACAGCAATTTGTATATTGTCTTGACATTTATTGTGTTAGCATCACAGTGGTCTCTTCTAATAATAATAATAATAGAAATGTTTTTTTTTAATACATTTCAACATAACATATCTTTTCTATGTAATTGTAGATCAACATACAAGTTGTGTGCAAGTACCTGAAATTTGTCATCACATAACTGTAGAAGATATTTGTTAATTCAAATTATTTTAGTACCTTTACATTGAATAATTAGAGATCCATATTACTCATCAGAGTCACAAGGAAGGAAATCGCAATGTCATGATATGCATGAGATAGGCTAAGATCTGTTTCTTATAATTTTCTTATTTTTCCATGTTTGTTTATATTAGTCTGTTTCACTAATGTGTTTAATCCTGTAAAAATGATTAAGTAATTTCAAAATGGGAGAGATTGCTCAGATAAGTAAATAAAATCACTGTATGAAATAAACTTTTATTGTATGCAGTGCTGAGATTCCTATGTTGGGTGCTGGGGATGCTCCTGTATTAGAAGAAGTGCAAGAGCTGTTGCAAGTTGAGAGACAGAAGCCTTATTCAAACATGCAGGTGTATAAAGAGTACAAAAATGCCATTAGGTTTCAGCAGTTTAGTGACAAGAATTTATACAGAAGTTCAGTTTTAAGTCACACAAACAGGTACAGTCATTCAGTTCAATGGTTATGTATTTGTCTACTTCTATTAGATAATCGTCCTAGAAAGACCAAGTACTAATTACTAAAGCAAACTGAGTTAAATACTATGAAAAACTTGAGACTAAAAAAAATGAGTGATAACATTTTTGAGTGATTTGACTTTTCAAATAAAAAATATCTAAATTCTTATTTATCAATTTTTTAAAAAGTTTGCAATTTTTTTAGAAAAACAAATGAAATTGTAACAGGTTTCTTTATATTACATAAAATTCATATTATTTTAATATTGTTTTATTGATATGGTTAGTTGTACAGAGATTAATTATGAATAATCTTTAGAAGAACTTAATATCAGCTTTAGGATCAGCTATGTTATATGAATACTTCCTTCCTTTACATCAAACTTAATAAATTTAGTGTAAATATTAAATTTACAGAGTTGTATTCATGTATTATATTAGCTTTTTCGCTACAGGCTTGGCCAAATTGGTTGGGTTTGGGACACCAAATTGATCTTTATAGTTTCTGTACTATAACTTCTAATATGTTTTATGTATCTTCACGAAATTTTACAAGCTTTCAGTAATCATTAAAAGTCATATGTTGACAAAAACCTTAATTTTTAATGAAGTATTCTTACTAAACATTTTTCCATGAATGTATGTAGTTATAGTGTTGACTGTTCTGAGTGCAAAGTGATTTTCATATGAAGATTAAAAATACTTCTTCACCTGAAATTTCATTTGTGTAATCTCTAAAACCTCATAAATAAATTTTAAACGTTTTTTTTTTTCTAATAAAACTTTTATCTGTTATTTTTTCTACCATAATTCTATATGAGGTTGGTCACTTTGGTTGACCTCAACCACCAAAAAAGAATTTGAAATAAATCTAACTTACCCTTTTTTCTTTCTAGAATGATTTCAAATTGTAACATGAAACTACATTTGTTTATCTTTAATGGCTTTAAACTTGTAACAACATACATCAGTGTATACTTGCATTTTATTGTTTTATTGCCTTCTGAACCATGCCTAAGTAATAATCCTGCCACAAGTTGTGGTAGATCACTTGGTAAATGTGTAGTTCATGCTATTATATGTTACACATGGGCTACTTGCAAGTTGCCCGCAAGTATACCTTGTGAAAATGTTATTTTAGTTTTTATTTTACCTAATCTAACATAAAAAGTTTATGATTTTTACATTTTAGATACTTTTATGATAATAAATAAAGAATACACTTGAAAAATAAGAAATAAAGTACTAATCTTGGTCTTTTTTCTTTTTTTGAAACTTAACCCTACTTTTTATACTAATGGTACTTACTGCCCTGAATACTTTTTTATCCAATTAAATAATTCACCAAAGGACACAGAATAATAACATATAAAAAACAAATGATGCCTGATAACTATCACAATTTTTCTGGCCTTCTAACTATGTGACAAGAGCCATTAAAAAAATCAACTAAGTTCGTCAGCGTGTTTCCCATGGGAATAAAGTTTGAACTGGAGGTCAAATAAACAATTTATTATATAAAAAACAAGAGAATATAATACATCATTTGATAGTTTAAACCCTTGACTTTCTATTGGTTATAAGTAATGTAGTATTAAACATCAGAGAGAACTATTGGCAATTTGAGAAAGAGAGGATGTGACAGGCAAGAGGGATCTGATTTTCTAGTTTATGGCTCTGTAACT